GCAGCCGGCTCTGCCAGGGCCAGAGGAGCCCCTGCAACAGCTCCGGGGAGCTCGGTAGGGTGGGGGGCCGGGGGGTCGCGTCCCTGGCACTGGGTGCCATGGGGCTGGCAGGTGGGGGCTGGCCCTGGCTTGGCCCCGTGACCCCCCGCTCTGCTCCGCCAGCCTGGCCGTGCCCTGAGAACGCCGCCTGTGCCCCGGATGGCCCCGGCCTCATCCAGTGCCTCTGCTCCAGCCCCTTCCACGGCTACAAGTGCCTGCGCGAGGTGAGCGCCCGCAGGATGGACCCCCCCTCTCTGAGCGCCCCCCGGCCGGAGCTGGGGCTGCGCGAGGCGGCGGGGGGCAGCGCCGCTCACTGCCGCGTCCTCGCAGGGCACGTTCCCCGTGCTGCTCTTCTGCGGGATCCTGGGAGCCGTCACCCTGGCCCTGGCACTGCTGCTGTGGGGCACCCAGCGCCGGAAAGCCAAGACCCCCTGAGCGGGGAGCGGGGGTCTGCACCAGCCCCTCTGCTGAGGCCAGGGGCAGGGCGGGGGGACTCGGGCTGCTGGGGGCTCCGGGTCCCGGGGGGCTCCATGCCCTCGGGGCTCTGTGCCCTGGGGTCTGGCTTGCCATGTGATGAATAAAGCCCGCAGCACCCTGTCCGTGTGTCTGTCCGACTCCTTCCTTCCCGGGGCAGCCAGGGTGCGGGACCCCGCAGGCCGCTTTGGGGGGGACGGACCGGGGGCTGGGGGCGCCGCCTCCACCCCCGCCCCGAGGGGGAAGGGCTCCCGCTGCTCCCCGGGCCCCGGCAGCGCCCTGAGCCGGGGCCGCGGCGGGGTAGCGCCGGGGGCGTGGCGTGTCGGTCTGTGGGCGTGCCCATGGAGATGAGCGGCGCGCGGGCTGCCGGGACCCCCTGGCGCCGGGTCGGCGAGGGGCAGCGTGTCGCGCGGGCGCGGCGCGGGGTGTTCGTGGCGTCGTGTCGCGGGGCGCGTGCGGCGCGGGTTGTTGTCGTGGTCGTGGTCGTGCGGGGTGTCGTGTGCGTGCGCTGAGTGTGTGTGGGCGGGGGTGCGGGGGTGTGGCGGGGCGTGGGGGGGCATACTTACCCGGCAGGGGAGGCACCATGACCCGGGAGGGGG